TATATATATATATATATACTTTTTTTTCCGGTTTCTTGTTACTTTTATATTTATTATTATTTTCTTCCCCTCCTTTCATTGTTCTGTAATTTTTCCCTTGTTTTCTCTACATTTTGATATACATATATATAGCATCGTGAAAAGTTGAATATTACACTATAACATCCAAATAAAAATATAGATATACAGATTATTAATAGAATTTTGACAAAACAATTTAATTATAATGGAATTAAAGCTCGATGCAATCTTATCATTTATGAATGATTTTATCCCATACTCCTATCCATTACATTGTTTAATTTAATAAAGTCATAAGATTAAATCACAAAGTTTATTTATTCTTTTTCAAATTAGCGAAAATTATGCAGAAAACGTTACGTTGTTTTGTATGATGTAAAATCTCACGGGATCAAAAAACAAAACAAAAAACAGAGTAATAATGCTTGTTAGTTCCGACCTCTAATCGGTGAACTTAAACTCATCAATTCAGAAAACAGGATAACCCGAAGGAAAGAGAAGTTAAACGAAGTTCAGCAAGGTAAAAATGATTCAGTTTTTTCCCCTTCTTTTTTTCACTCTCCCTTCTTGGCCTTGGAAAGCAAAACGTCTTGCTGATAAGGTAAAGAAGTGAAAGACGCAAATGACGAAAAAAAAAATAATAATAGAAAGGAAAGCGAAGAGACTAACAGATTCACTCATACGAACAGGTATTAACCCTTTGGCATCTTTGTCCTCAGCATCTTTTCTCTTCAGCTTGCTCTTGAAATTCATCTCTTGTCTTGAGATCATTTCTCCTCGGAGAACTTCCATTTTTTTTGGAATTGTATTTTTTTGATGTGTAAAAAAATAAATACTAATAGACAGGTGAAAAAATTATTTTACTATATTTTGTTTATTAAAAACTGATTTCTGAAAGAAATTTTGAATAGGTTGTTGAGCTACCTTTCAGATGTGAACTTAAGAGTATTTCGCAGTTTGGATTTCAACTGTTGATTTCTTTAGCTTGAATTAATCATTAAAATGGGCAAGTGGAGCATTCATGGAACATTTTTGTTGGTGGTGATGTTTGTAGGGTGCCTTCCATGCCATTCATTGGATATTGATCCTGAAGAAATTCCAAAAGAAAGCGAGCTTCACGCCAGGCAGTTTTGGATGCAGGCAGACAAAGATTTAAAAACCGCTGTAAGCAAAATCATTCGCAAGGCTATGCCAGTTGTTATGAAAGAAATTTACAAAAAAGACATTTCAACGACATGCTTGTCAACTCTTCTACAGTTTACTTCAGCTCTCAAACAATCCAAGAAATGGGCATATTTAAGTAAGTTTTTATTTATTTTCCTCAAAAATTAAATTTTACGGCTAATTATAAAACATGTCTTTGTTAACATGTCTTCTAATTTAACAATATGAATACTTGAATTGATTGAAGAGATTTAATACTGATTGAACTTAATTAATTTATTTAATTAATTAATAACCATTCTTATTTAGATACTTTTCAAGAGATCTTCACACTTATTAATTAAAAGAGAATGTTGTTCACGTTGAATGAAATATGTATTTGTTGAAATTTTCTCGTTATTTCTGTGTCAGTGATTTATTTAACAACTTAAAACAATGTCTTGGAAAAATTTAGAGTGTTTCCGCCCCATTGTTTTATTTCAAAATGCGCGAAAAATTATTACTGAATCATTTGTATGCTTTTTAAGAAAATGAGTAAAATATAAGTTGACGCTTAGATTAATATGGATAACTTTTAAATATTAACTACTAAGATTAATATTAACCTAAAGTTTTCAGAATTTAAAATTAACAAAAAAGAGCAAATTACGTTGGTCATTGTTTTTGTTGTATACGTTTGTATATTTTTAAGATTGGCTAAGACTACCAAGTGACAAATGTCTCGGACTGTGAACAGTTCGAAATCGCGGAAGAACTTTAACATTCACAAACGAATAATTTACATGAGCTGAAACCTTTCTGTCGCTGCAAATTTTAGGATGCTAAAGTTGGACAGACAGGACATTAGCAACTGCCACTGTAAATCGAGAATTCTATAAGGTATATTTGCCTTCCATCTGACAGGTATATTTAGCATCTATGTTCCAGAGATGCCAACCTGCTGTGCTTTGTAAAAAAAAAATATTTTCTTGTGGTAAGAAAATTTAGGTTTTTTTTTTCTTCATTTCTAAGTAATTTTTATACCATTACATATCAAAAATTCAAACCATCATGATATTTTTTCCAATGACTTCCTATTGAAGAAAACCCCTCCCAGCAACCGGATGAACATCTGCACCAAATGCGGAAAAGGTCAAATAAGGAAACACGAAAAAATATCAAAACATAAAATTCAACCCAAACAAATAAGTAGATTAAAATGTATTCAAAATATTAGTGTGAGGCTCTTGTTTAGAGAGCTCTTTTTGACAATACAACCTCATATTGCAGTCAGAGTGCAATAAAGACGATGCTATAAATCATTTAACTTTTAGAGTTGTAAGTTAAATAAGAAAAAAACAAATTTTTTATCGAAAAAACAATCATCTCAAATAAAGTAACTTCTTCTCACCTTCTAATTTTTATGATATAATATTAAATGCAAATTTAAACAAAAAACATAATTGTTTCTTTTATTTATTGGAACTTTTTTTTTACACATATTTATATCAGTTTGGATCATTTTTATAGCCGCTAAATTTTATTTATCGATTCGTCTTTTCATGACGCCAACAGAAGTGCCATTACCGCACCAAGAAAAGGACATTGACTGAAATTAAAATCGTTTGCGAAAAATCATGTTCCTTCGATAGCAATTTTGAAGTCAATGAATTTAACCTGTAAGAACATCCAACCTCCATCTTCAACCATTTTACTGTGGAAGGGAGAGTGGTTGTTCCCGACAGGTTTCACTGTATTAATAAAATTGAAAAGAAAATACTAAAATGTAATTTACGGTTAAAAACAAAAATTGAAATTGAATTATTTAGTCAAAAGAGATTACATTCAAAAATGGCAATTAATGAATGGCACAAAGTTCCAAATATATTCGAAAACATAATCAGACATTCGCTTTTAAGGTCATATGTTAAATTCCTTTTGAATACATAATATTTTCTTATTTTTAATTTATAATGTTCTAGAAAACGAAATAGTTCTCTCTTTTACCTAGAATAATTTTTTTGCATTACAGTGGAACAATTTTATTCTGTAATTAGTCACACCAGTTGTAAGATTACACTCGCACAATGGTAAAACAAAAGAACATAATAAGATTTTAATTCAAAATTTGAGTAAAATATGACTGAAATTGGCCTTACAGAAAATTGAAAGACTTCAAATACGATGTAGAACTGAAGATTTTATTTATAAGAAACATTTTACCCAGAAAGTTATTCTTTCTAAATGCCAACAGAATAATAATTTAAAAAAAAAAACGTTTTTTATAAATTAACCGTGATTGGATTAGCGATTTTGAAAAGAATTGCTTTTTTTGTAAACTCACTCTATAATACGATTTGAGTTATATTAGTTTACTTGTTAATATTTAGCAACGGCAAATACATCAAATGATGAAATTTATATTACGAATTATGCTAATAATCTTCATTAAAGTTAATCTAAACATTGAAACCGCTTACGATTTTTTTTACACCCAGCTTGAAGCTTTTGACATGAACTATGTTAATTCCTAATTTTCGTAACTGGGCACCTGCGGCTCTTGCGGTACTAGACAAGTCACCAGAATTCTGATTTGAATAAAAGTCGATAATTGAGATAAAGTCATAATTAAAAATAAAATAAAAAATTCCATGGACTGGAAGTTGTAATTTAGCTCACCTACCCAGCTTTTCCTGCTGACGCGACCCGCGGCTAGATTGCTAGGATTATTGCTTTCTTAAGTCCCATAAACTTGCATCTTAAAGTAACATCTGATGTTATTAATAAAGTTCTTGGGTTCTATTTTTTGTTATAGTCGATGTCGCGTATCTGTTTGAAATTTGTCGCTTCAAAATTGAGGGCATCTTTCTAGAATGTAACTTTGATTTTTTTAAAAAAATATAATAGATATTTTCTAGAGGATAGTTTATTGGTCATAAATCTTGATGCGTTAACTATTTGTCTTCGAATTTTATTTTGCGTAGTGTCTATGGTCTTGATTACATTTTTGCCCAGTCAGGTGATGCATAAGTCATTATAGGTTTTATATAAAACATGTATCCGAGCTTCTTGTTATATAACTAATCGTTGATGGTCTATATATTGGAAGATAAAGATTAATTTAAGCGGCTCTAGCTTTTTAAACAGTTTCCATGATTTTGCTTTTAAAAATGTTCCAAGTTAGTTTTTCCTTTACAATAATGCCGAGGTATTTGGCTTGTTTAATTCTCGAGATATCTTCATTAAAAAAAATTGGTATGAAAGATATCGGGCTTCTGGTAGAAGTTTTAATATTAGGAGGTTCGATGAACAATATAATTGACTGATGTAAAATTACATAATAATTAAACTTTTATTTTAAAAGTGACAAAAAAAATTTTACATATACTTTATAATACTAATTTAAAAACTATTACTTGAGGTTAAAAAAAATAGCCGTGTAATGAATGGGAACTACTCCTTTTAAAATAAATCTTTAAAAAAAATATTAAAATTATACAATACATCAGATGAAACATTTCATTTATGAGCGTTTCGTACTTAATTATAATTTGATTTATATACATTTCAATGCAACAAAAAAGATTACATTTAGGGATAATGCAATATATACATATTTAAATTCCGGACATATATATATATATAAGTTCAAAATGAAGAATAAAACAAAGAAAAATAATAGACAAATGAAAAAAAAGGGGGAAAAAATAAGCAAAAAAATAACAAACAACAGTTTAAAAAAAAAAACAATTTTTCTAGAACTATTATTTTTCTTTGTTTTATTCTTCATTTTGAACTTATATATATATACAGCGATGGTTTCAGTACGATTGAAGATGGTTTACCATCGTNCACAATTACATACCTGCCAACTTTTACGCATTTGGCGTAAAATTTTATTTTTATACTTAAAATGGTAGTAAATATATACTATTTTTTATTTTATTAACTTAATTTTTAAATGATTTGATCACCACTATTTTAAAAAAAATTAAGCATATATACTAATATGTGTTACTATCTTGTTTATCAGCTTAATCTTTCTCAAATACAAAGTATTTTTTTGCTTAAAATTGAAATTTTAATTCCATTTTAGTACCACTATCAAAACTCATAATGGAAGGGATTAAAAGTTGGCAGATATGCATTTATATTAAAATTTGATTTTATTGAATAACATGATTAATATGATATTAAATAGCAAATTTCCAACTTTCCACACGTTTTTGAAATATTTCTTTTAATGATAGCTAGGTTAATGTTTTAATAAATAAATTAATTAATTATAAATTTGATTTTATTTTATTTTCTGCACCACTACATAAAATTTATTCAAAAGCACATGAAAAACGTCACTTTGTCATAGGTAGAGAAGCATTTAAAACATTAGTAAAATTACCACAAATTTGAAAGATATAGTTTTAATTGTATACTACTCAATAATATATTTTGCAAAAAGCGTTGTTATTGGCATATACTATATGTACATAACTATTCAATAATAGACATAACTGTTTAAAAATTATGTATTTGCTAGGCTACGAAATTTTCCTCAACTAATGTACATATTCTTCAACTGATACGGAATTTCTGTAGCGTCAGAAAATATTATTCCTTGTGGTATTAAAAATAAATTTAAATGTTTTAATAAATATGAATTAAGAGAATTTTGTTTACCACTAAATATAAATAATTTAAATATATATATAATTTGTCAAATATGCAAATAGTATTAAAAAAATTAATTTTATTAATTCCCAAAACCACTAATTTAACAATTGTTGTATTCTATTGTTATCTGTTTGTGCTGTCATTTAACTTTTCGTGTCCTTTTGTTCATTTAATTCATTACTACTATCGATCTTATCAACTAATTTTAACAACATAGGCCTTTAATTCATCATTTACGGAGGTGGCCTTATAGGCCAGATACTCCGTGTCACCTATTATTAGTTACCTTAGTATAAACAGTCATATTCTGAAGTTCCAATAAAAGTTTTATAAAAATTCTATATTATTTAAAATATCATATGAGCATAAGGCGAATGTATTATTTGATCTTAGCTTCGGTAGTAGTTTTTCTCCCAAGGCTTTTTATTATGAAATGTTTAATTTCTGAACTCTTTCTTTTAAATATTATTAATCTGTTTATTCTTA